GCATCCTGCTCCCTTCCTCCATCTTTTTAATTGTGCTTTATTACTGTTATTAGGAATATTTATTGTTCATGGTTTCAGCATTCGCCCAGAGTCACCTTGAAGCGAGATGGGCAGCAAATAAACTAAAGAAATAAAGAATTAAGTAACCAGATGGTCAAATCCAACCCACAAGTAACATATTGCTCTAACCTAAAAAGATGTTACCAGAATGCAGAAAATGGAAGTCTATTATCGTTATCCAATTGTGCTAGTTTTATTTTGCCCTAGCTGGTAAAAGGCCATAGAGAACACCTGTGTCTCTGGACAGAGGTGGAGAGCCCGTGATTCTCCAGCTTGCTCAACCAAGAAACGCTTGGCATTGGCCAAAGCTGGTTGAGGCGCCTGGGATTTGTATTTCAGCTGCATCGGTAAGGCTAGAGATGCCCCTCCGGATAGGAGACTAATCTTGTCCAGAGAATGCAGCTGCTCCCAGGAAAGGAATCGGAGGCCTTGGAGGATCACAAGTGAAGAGGAAGCAACAGTGCAGAATGGGACAACTCGCCACAGCCAACTTGCCGCAGGACAATTCAACAAATAAAAAAGTTAAATTAGTTTCAATGGAACCATGGCCAATAATAATCACATAAAGAAAGTCAATCCAGAAATACAAGAGTTACAATAATATCAACAAAAACGTGGTCACCAATAATAAAAGTAAGTGAATGAAACAATTAGTATAGCACTGAATTGTCCTGAGGCGAGTTATCCTAGACACCCCCCCAAAAGTGGGATGCAGTTGCAAAAAAATAAAAAACGTCAGCTAAAATGTAGTACAGGCAGTCCTTGACCCACAACCATAATGGAGCCTGTCCATTACGATGATGGCCATTAAGTGAGACAGTCTCACTTAATGACACCCACCCCTGCTCTTCCTAATGTGGCCGTTAAATGAACACATGGGTCACTAAGTACCTCGTGGGTGGGGGAGGCCCTGGGAGGCCCTCCACCTAGCTGGGCCCGTAAAGGAGGCAGACAAGCAGCAAAAGGCTTGTCTTGCCCCTCCCCAGAGCAGGGGAAAAGAGCCCAGCCAGATTCGGGCCCAGCGCCAGCCATGTTTGGAGCAGCTTCCAAAGAAGTCCCCGTGCTTGGCCGAGAGAAGCCCCAAGGCTTGGAACGCCAGGGAGGAAGCTTGGCCATCCATCCACGGGTGGTCTTTTGCCAAAGAAGGAAGCCACACTTGTGGGCTGGGCCTCTGCCCCGATCCTCCCCAAGCTCTTGCCAGGCGTTGGGGAAACAGGGGCGCTGCAGCAGCCATGATGTAGGAGATGACCAGGCTGAGCCCGTCGTGAGCATCACCTGCCTCGAGTCTCTTCGTGCCCACAAGAGATCTAAGTCCAGCCCGACTTGAATTCCACTGACCCTCATCTCCTGCCAATTTCCTTTGAGCAGTACTAATTTAAATTTTTGCGGAGTGACAGTGTAGAATAAAGTTGTACTCATTTGAATAACCGTGGTTCGTGGTTTCTTATGCCTGACACGTAATTTTGAAACATGGTTGTATATAGTTTTTTTTGGGGTGGGGGGGGATGTTATAACTTTGGCCATTAAGTGAACAGTCATATCTCGAAGACTAACTCTATTGAGATCAAGAGAAATCCTTGGTTCTATCTAGTCTGCTTTGGTCAGAGCACAGCTCATCTATTGTATTCCATTATGGACACCTCATTTTAAGGGCCCTGACACCTGGATCATATCCAGAAAAAAGGAACCCAGACAATTAAGGAAGGAAAAACATATAAGGAATAAGACATTATATGTGTTCTATCCATGTAGCACGGAGAAGTGTGTAATGTGGGAACACAGGACAATTGTCTTCAAGCATCTGAAGAGCTGACATGTAAAAGCATAAGCAGAATTGTCCAAAATTGTATCCGAAGGGGGGGGAAATAAAACCCAATGAATTTAGATTTCTAGAACATGTTTTCACCTGGACACCAGGAAAAAAATCCTAACAGTATGAACTCTCAACAGAAGAAACTGCCTCAGAAGGTGCAGATCTGCCTTTGCTGCAGATATTGAAACCGAGGCTGGATGGACATTTTTGATGATGTTCTACTAAGGTCCTTACACTGAGCTGGGAGTCAGGGTGGATTACCTGCAAGGATTCTTCCAACCCTTATGCTTCATAATCTTAAAATCATTTGGAATAGGTACCCTACTGCTGCTGCCCCACCCCAATCAAAACACTCCCACCTTACTTGACCTGAGCCTTCAAGCCATCAAAGCCCAGTTCAGGAAAGTCTTAGAAACTGCTGCCCATCAAAGGAGAAATACAAAATCTGAGCATTAATATTAAATCTGTTGAATAACCTATTCCCTTCCCTACGAATTGATCACCAGCTCCAGCAGACTAGAGCAGGGCTCACCACTCATCTTCCCCCTTTCTGGTTCCCCCCCCCCCGACCTGTTGCCCTGCTCTCCACTCATGTGCCTCAGTGACTCCTCTGCTATTCTGGAAGCTCTTTTAAGCAGCAAAGGAATTGGTCCTTTTAGAGGCCGAGAACTGAAGACTTCATGCAGTGGAAAAACACAGGTCTCTGAATCAGAAGAGCTGGTGGAACCCTCTGCTGAAAGGGCAGGGCCAAACAAGCACCTGCTTCCAATTCCCTCACACCCTCCTTTAAGCTCACAGCGGGACTAAGGGACAGCCTGGAAGGAAATTCTGCTCCAAGTCTGTAATTTATCTAAAAGTTGTACGTGGTCATTCTTCGCTGTCCTGCCATTTTGAACTCTCCAAAGAGAAATGAAGGCCAAACGAGCGCATCAACCTATGTCCACTCAGTGGAGGGTGGAAACGAAGGAAAGAAGCCCAAAGCCACACTGGTATTCTGGAACAATCTAGGCAGGGCAGGCCCAGAAAACAATAGGAAAGAAAGCCTGCTGGCATCCAGGGCCCCAGCTGGAAGCATTCCATGTGTCCTCCGTGGCTATATGAAAAGCAGATGTAGCAGAAACCAGAGGATTCCTTCCCCAAATCAGTGAAACGAGAGAAGTTCATTGGGAGGAAGGATAAGCTGGGCCGGAGGTTGCCTGTCCTCCTCAGTGCCAAGGGCTGAACAAAGACAGAGCCTAAAACAATCCGTTTTGCCACATCACTAGAGGATCTCCTGAAGTCAGCCAGAGGAGAGTCAATCAATCAGGGCCTCCTTTTCAGGCTGCACCCCCTATCAACAATGCCCTTCAGCATTTGACAAATAACACAAAAATGCGACGTTAGAAAGAGAAGTCAGGAGCCAGCAAGAGAACATTCGGAGAGAAAGGCTGCTTTCCTGCGCGGAAGATTAATTTACCTACCTACACTGTAGACTGAGCTAGTACTTGTTACTGTTATTCTAATGATAATAGTGTACCCTTTGCTTCCACTGAAATCCTAATTAAATTGTCAGAAACTGCAACATTTTGTTAACCCACCTCCCATATGCGAATGTGCACATTCTGAACACAGCAGTTCTTGCATCTAACAAAGCGGAGTCACTTCCACAGTGACTTCTTAATTTTTCGCCTAATTTAAGTGAGTGCATGTTCTCCTCTGAAGCCCAGTGACCAGGCATTCATAAAAGAAGCTAATACTTTGGCTGCGGAAATGCTGCTAATTGGAAGCAAAATTGGGATGGGCCGAGCAGCACAGCCAGCCAAGGGATCGTCCACGCCTCTCCCGCAATCAGAGCAGAAGAGAAAGCTCTTTGTGGACAGACAGATGGAGAGCGTGTCCTTTCCAAGTAAGGGATATATTCTGTGACTCTTCTACTGCCCATACGATACCCCAAAACTAAAAGAGGTCCCCCAAATTATGTTAGCTCTTTGAGGCAGTCCAGGCAAAAAGCAGAACTATGAATACTAAATCTTTATTATAACATTAACCAAATCTTGTGAGACTGGAAGTGTTTCTCCCCCTCCTCCATTTTACTCCCTGGAAAACCAGGGAGGGTCCTCCTGAAAGACTCCCCTCGCCCCCCCCCCTCTGTGGATGGTACACACTGCAGCTCTTCCCTCTGTCTTCCAAAGTCATTTCCACAAAACACCCTTGATGTGGAAAGATAGGGAAGAGGGGCAACCTCTGAGGGAATGGAGGGGAAGAGACTGCTGTGAAGCTAAAACAAAAAAAACACTACTAGCTGGTCCCGGATAGGTTTGTTACCTCTGCCCTAGAGATACATTGAACAGGTGCCCCAAAGGAGGAACAAGCTCATCTCCCATGCCAGCTCCTCTGTGCAGCTCTGAAATCTCTGGGCTGTTTTTTCGCCAAAACAGCTCTGTAGTCTAGCACCTCCCAGACTAAAAAATGCCCTTCCAAGAAATTTCGAAATCAACAAGCCAAAGGAACCGCTGGATTCTCCCGAAGAACCACAAATGCTCTGTAGCTACAGTGAAAGCAGGACGGAGCTCGGAAGAAAGATTCAATTCCAGTACAAAGTAAGGGTCATCGAAGCAATCCCCAATGATGCGCAGAGAGGACTTCTAACCAGGAGCTTGCTTTGGTTTCAATCTCTGGATCAAAATCATCAGAAACGCTCCCAGCACTCAGCGAGCGGACTCCTGACTTTGTTTCCCGTCTCCCTTCAGACTGTTTCCCGACGCTTTAATCCAGAAGCCTTTTCCAGACTTAAAACGGGCTCCTGCTCTTGGATGTAACATCTGCCCAGGCAAACGTTAGGGCAGCAGCACTCTGGGCCCGCCTGCGTAGAATCAGGCAGCCGTGGAACGTTTATCCTTCCCCTTGTGCGTCCAGCACAGCAGCTACTTTAAATTCAGAATTTTTCAAAACAGGCATGGGTAACAAGATGGCTCCACACAGCACCTAACAAACTGTAACTGAACAATACAGTGTGCTTCCTAGTGGAAAGAGGTTCTCTGGGTGGAAATGGGGGTGGAGGGAGGGAGGGAGAGAAACTGATACTCTTCACAGAAGTCTGCAAGAGAAAGCTAACACTGAGGGAAGAGGGAGAGGGTGGGGCACTCACATGTGATAAAGTAATCCTGGTGTCTTTTGAATTCCAAGCCCATATAGTTGGGGCTGAACTCCTGAAATTTGATGGTAAAACGGATTTCCAGCTCAGGCCTGTTGCAGGTCACCAACACGTTAGGGTCCATGACGGTGCTGCAGGACGCTGCTTGGTCCCGTTTCACCAGGTACAACTTGTAATATTCATAGGGTTTGGATGGCTCTCCCTTCGGACAGATTATGTCCAGCTTGTCCCCAATTTCTGGGTAAAGCACCAGCCCTGTGCCAGACACGAACCTGCAAAACATGGAAAGAAAAAGGGAATCAGCACAGAATGAACTTATTGTGTTTATTATGACCTACCACTATAGTTGTTACATTCACCAAATACCTGCATAAGGAGAGCATCAAAGCACCTGCTGTATCGAAGTATTATATCTGCATTATTTGTTTCCTGCTTTTATTATTTTTACAAATAAGTCAAGGTAGTGAACATATCCAACACGCCTTCCTCCTATTTTCCCAACAACCCTGTGAGGTAGGCGGGGTTAAGCGAGCACGACTGGCCCAAGGTCACCCAGCCAACTTTCATGCCTAAGGTGGGACTAGAACTCGCCGTCTCCCACTTTCTAACCTGGTGCCTTAACCGCTAACCAAAATGGCTCCCATCGCCTTCAGTAGGTCTGGAAAAAGGAACAGCTCAGCTTACAGTCCCATTAAAGACTGGCTGAAGAAGACGGATGCTCGTCCCTCAGTTCTGTCCATCAACAAATCTTCAGTGGACACTCCATTTTTCCATTAACACCTTTTTCTTTTCCACCCAACGTAGGATAAAAATGGAAGTCGCCCTCCCCCTGCAGCAGCCTGACCCTTCCCCCTCTGACCATCTCCGCTGGCCTGGGGCCTGCTCGGCGTCTTTCTTTCTTTCTTTCTTTCTTTCTTTCTTTCTTTCTTTCTTTCTTAGCAGGCTGGTCAGGTCTGGCCCAGAGCCTCCTTAAGGCCAAGGCTCGGTCCAATCTTCTGGCACGACACTGACCTGAGCCTGACAGGGGCCCTTTCGACCTAAGGCCCAAAGGATGAAGAAAATGGACTGGCTTTGTGGGTGAAATAGATTTCATGTCCCTCAGAAGTGAAAGGGGCTGAGGAAATGTTCATTTCTCCTGCAGCAGCTGGGAACCGGCAGCCGCGATCCTTGGCTCTTCCTTCTTCCATGTTAAGTGGCAGGGAGAGGGAGAAGACTGCAAAGCTCCGGTTGCTTGAGATGGAACGAAAAGCCCCCCCCCCCCCCCCCCCCCCCCCCCCCCCCCCCCCC